GTTTAACACCATCCCAAACACTCGCTCGGGCATGTGAAAACCAAGGCTCCGCGGGTACCCGGCTCTCGGGCAGGATCTAGCATTGCAGAGAAAGCATATTCTCCACAAAGAAATCCGAATTGAATACGTGATGAACATGCATAAAAGAGTCATCAAACAGAAGTATGGAATTTTCATTATCGATCTACAGAGCGTCTTCACAGAATCATGACCTGAGTATAAAGCTAAAGCGGGGTTTCTTGTTCTCCGTTGAGCAGAACTTCTACTGGTGTATTTATATAATTCACGTTTCAGATCTATCTTTTGTTTTAGCCGGGTTTTGCCAACGAATGTTTTTTTTTTACAAAATCAACACGGTCCTGAAAAGCAATATCAAAACCGATCAAAAACCTACAGCGGCCCTGTCGTTGAAGACTGCTATTGCGTGCACGCCATTTATGTAGCCTGCTGACTTTGTTTTGGAGGAGCCGCGAGAGGGGCGGTGTTAACGCGGCTGGTTTGTGACGTAGATAAGGACAACATATAAATTTAGTTCAATGTCATACACTGAGAAAAGTATTGTACCAGACTCAACGTCGGTGAGTAGATGTAGTGATGCTAACCTTATGCGACTGCATTGCTCTGCGAAGATGAAACAATTCCCCCTCCCCTGCTGCGTTGGCATCCGAGCCCCGATCACGCAGCAGCCTGGCGTCTCAGGTGGTTATGCGCAGTACGAAATGGGCACAACCAGCTCTCGTTAGCAGGATTGCCCAACTTAGAAGTCATACAACCCAAACAACAACTTAAGCACCAAAAATAACGGCAAGCAGTAATCATTATTTATTTCGTCGTTTCGACAATTGCTACCCACATTGCTTGCATGAGCGCCTGTCATCTTCAAGAAATTACCATCTGACACTATTATAATTTCAGCAACAAACCAGCAACGTGATTTTTAACACGCAGACTGCAGATGATTTACAACACGTATTTAAAGGGCAACCTAAGCACCAAATCACGGGTATACGACAAACCAAGAATAGTATCCCAGTTCTGCACATTCGTGTCTCGAATTATCTGTTCGTGCGCTGAGCCTTCGTACATAACATAATTTTGATCATTATTATCAAATATTTGATAACTTACGGCACATCGCGCGCAGACCAGAAAGACGCCTTCACTCGTACCTTATCATAGCACTTCTTTCTACATTTACTTTATTACTGCACTCCTAATGTATTTCCAGTTGTGAAGCTTTAATTTATATTTCCAAACAGAGAACACAGAGAAAGAGCCAACAACGTCGGTTGAACTGAAGCATTTCCAGCAATCTTAAAAAACGGACCAAGCCACGGAAACCCAACACCGAAGCCAAGCCAATGTTTTCGGTACGGTACATTAACGTCTATAAGCGCAGTGCACCTCATACACGAGTCCGGATAATGCGATTCACACTTATTAGAACCAAACACATCGTGAAGACAATGTCTCTTAAGCTACAACACTTGGGTTCAATTAATATGACTACTCCGTTGCCGTGAAATGCTGTCATCATGTCGTGCGGAGGGGCTGTCGTAGCACCCTCTTAAAGTAGTGCACCTCTTGTACATTTCCAGCGAGCGAGGCCTGAAATCGCTCTGACATCCAGAGACATACTCTGCCGAGATAACATGCCAACAGCAATCCTAGGGTAACGGACCAAGCCCCGGGAAACTAAGACTGAAGCAAGGCCAGCGTTTTCAGTACGGTACATATGCGTCTATTAGCGTAGTGCACCTCACACACGAGTCCGGATAATGCGATTCACACTTATTGGAACTAACAACATCGTGCTGACAAGGTCGGTGGAACTGCAAGACTTCGGTCCGATGACTCATGCATTACCGTGAGATGTTGCCATTATGTGCGGACGGACTGCAGTAGCACTCTCTTCAGGTAGTACACTTCTTGTTTAATTCCAATCGGCGAGACCTAAAAACCGCTCTGACATCCAAAGACATACCCAACCGAGATAATATGCCAATAGCAATCCTAAGGAAACGGACCTAGCCCCGGCAATCGAAGATTGAAACAAAGTCAGCGTTTTCGGTGCGGCACATATACCTCTATTAGCGTATATGTGCCGTACCGGAACATCCAAACCGTACCAAACTGACATCCAAAGACATGATCTACCGAGAGAATATGCTAACAACAATTCCAAAGTAATAAGCCAAGCCCCGGAGACCGAAGACCGAAGTAAATCCCACGTTTTCAGTACGGTACATGTGCTTTAATTGGCGCCTTGCATCTCATACACGGGTCCGGATAACGCAATTCACACCTGCTAGAAATAAATACGTCGTGCGGACATTGTCGGTTCAGTTACAACACTTCGGTTCAATGAATAAGACCCATGCATTGTCGTGAGATGTTGCCATCATGTGCGGACGGACTGCAGTAGCAGCCTCTTAAAGTAGTGCACCTCTTGTATAATTCGAGTTGACGAGACCTGAAAACCGCTCTGATATCCAACTACATGCTCTACGGAGATAATATGCCGACGGCAGCCCCAAGGAAATAGGCCAAGCCCCGCAAATCGAAGACCGAAGCAAAGCCAACGTTTTCGGTACGGCACATTTACGTTTATTGGCGCGGGACACTTGAAACACCAGCCCTTATAGTTCGATTCACACTTACTAGAATAAACACGTCGTGGCGACAATGTCGTACTTCGGTTCAATGAACAAGACTCATGCATTGCCGTGAGATATCACCATCATGTGCGCAGACTGACCGTAGAAGCAGCCCCTTAAAGTAGTGTGCCTCTTGCATTATTCCAGTTGGCGAGACCTGAAAACGCCTCTGGCATCCAAGAAAATTATCTACCGAGATAGTACTCTCGTGTATAAGGTGCGCTGCGCTTATAAACATGCATGCACCGTACCGAAAACGTTGGGCTCGCTTCGGTCTTCGGTTTCCGGGGCTTGGTCCGCCCCCTTAGAATTTCTGTTCGCGCATTATCTCGGTAGAGTATGTCTTTCGATTTCAAAGCGGTTTTTAGGTCTTGCCAATTGGAATTATACAAGAGGTGCACTACTTTAAGAAGGTGCTACTACATTCCATCCGCACATGATGGTGACATCTCACGATAGTGCATTAGTCTTATTCATTGAACTTACGTATTGCAGCTCAACGGACATTGTCGGCACAAGGTGTTTATTTCTACTTAGTGTGAATCGCATTATAAGGACTCTTGTTTCAGGTGTTCCGTACGAATAAACGTATACGTACCGTACCGAAAGCGTTGCCTTTGCTTCGGTCCTCGGTTTCCGGGGCTTGGCTTCTTTCCTTGGGGTTCATGTCGGCATATTATCTCGGCAGGGTATGTCTTTGCACATCAGAGCGGTTTTTAGGTCTCGCCAATCGGAATTATACAAGAGGTGCACTACTTTAAGAGGCTACTACTGCAGTCCGTCCGCACATGATGGCAACATCTCACGACAATGCATGGGTCTTATTCATTAAACCGTAGTGTTGTAACAGAACGGACATTGTCCGCACGACGTATTTATTTCTAGCAAGTGTGAATCGCATTATCCGGGCCCGTGTATAAGGTGCACTGCGCCAATTAAAGCATATGCACCGTACTGAAAACGTGGGGTTTACTTCGGTCTTCGATTTCCGGGGCTTGGTCCGTTTTCTTAGGATTGCTTTTGACATATTATCTCGGTAGAGTATGTCTTTGGATGTCAGAGTGGTTTTTAGGCCTCGCCAATCGTAATTATACGAGAGGTGTACTACTTCAAGAGCGTGCTACTACATTCCATCCGCACATGACGGCAACGTCTCACGGCAATGCATGAGTCTTATTCATCGGACCGAAGTCTTGCAGTTCCACCGACATTGTCAGCACGATGTGTTAAGTTCTAATAAGTGGGAATCGCATTATCCGGACTAGTGTGTGAGGTGCACTACGCTAATAGACGCATACGTACCGTACCGAAAACGCTGGCCTTGCTTCAGTCTTAGTTTCCCGGGGCTTGGTCCGTTACCCTAGGATTTCTATTGGCATTTTATCTCGGCAGAGTATGTCTCTGGATGTCAGAGCGATTTCAGGCCTCGCTCGTTGGAATTGTACAAGAGGTGCACTACTTTAAGAGGGTGCTACGACAGCCCCTCCGCACGACATGATGGCAACATCCCACGGCAACGGAGTAGTCATATTGAACCCAGGTGTTGTATATTTGCAACATCCCACGGTAACGGAGTAGTCATAATTGAACCCAGGTGTTGTAGCTTAAGCAACATTGTCGTCACGATGTGTTTGGTTCTAATAAGTGTGAACCGCATTATCCGGACTCGTGTATGAGGTGCACTGCGCTAATAGACGTTAATGTACCGTACCGAAAACATTGGCTTGGCTTCGGTGTTGGGTTCCCGTGGCTTGGTCCGTCTTTTAAGATTGCTGGAAATGCTTCAGTTCAACCGACATTGTTGGCTCTTTCTTTGTGTTGTCTGTTTGGAAATATAAACTAAAGCTTCACAACTGGTAATAAATTAGGGGTGCAATAATAAGGTAAGAAGTAGAAAGAAGTGCAATGATAAGGTAAGAGTGTAGGCGCCTTTCTGGTCTGCGCGCGATGTGCCGTAAGTTATCAAATATTTGACAATAATGATCAAAATTATGTTATGTACGAAGGCTCAGCGCACCAACAGATAATTCGAGACACGAATGTGCAGAACCGGGATACTATTCTTGGTTGCTCGTATGTCCGTGATTTGGTACTTAGGTTGCCCTTTAAGTACGTGTTATAAATCGTCTGCTGTATGCGTGTTAAAAATCACGTTACTGGTTTGTTGCCGAAATTATTATAGTGTCAGATGATAATTTCTTGAAGATGATAGGCGCTCATGCGAGCAATGTGAGTGGCAATGGTCGAAACGACGAAGTAAATGATGCTAATTGCCTGCCCGTTATTTTTGGTGCTAAAGATGTTGTTTGGGTTGCAGGACTTCCAAGTTGGGCAATTCTGCTAACGCGAGCTGGTTTTGCCCATTTCGTGCTGCGTATAAAACGCTCGCGGTGGAGATTTTTCTTCTTCTTAAAAAGGTGGGGCGCTTGAAGAATCCTAGAAGAAATACGCACTTGTTCTCAGTAAGTACATATAGGTCAGTAAAAGGCTGGGCGCGTATCACATTGCCCCAAAATATTTCCTCTAAGTGAGAAAGATTGTACCTGATTGTACCTGTACCTAAGCTAGAACGTAGATGCACGAACTACAATGTCTCAGATGCTCCTATTTATGTTGTAGCTTGCATGCCATTCAGTCATGAAGTTTTCATTACGTGGTCCAGGGAATAGTGCAACAGATGCACAACATTTTAAGCATCTGCTTCTATCAGCTTTTATTGGGACTGACACATTTACAATGGAACTATCAATATCAACAACTTTCTATCAGCTCCATAGCTTACAAAATTATTAGGTGCAAGCATAGACTTAGGAAGGAAGCACTTGCTTAGGAAGCTAGAAAGTTTAAGAATTGCAAGCAGCCAATTTCTAATGGTCTTGAGCAATTACTGAGACCAACTTGAGCATGGTGTTTACTGTCATCTGCTGCCAAAAAATGTCCTTCAGTGCCAGCTGTGAATGTATTGCAAATTCACTTGGGTTATTTTGTTCTCACTACAAGCTGTGATTTTTATATTTTTGTTCTCTCCCCCAACAGCCAAAACCAAATTTCAGATACTGGTGGAGACCAGTTTACAAAAAAATTGATTCTGTGTATAGTATGGTTGTCATTCAGCACATAATTTAGCTGAACCTTATGCTTGTGTGCCTGATGCCAGATCAAAAAAATTTCAGGGTACATTTGCTTGCAATGCCTTTGTGGAATTATAACACCCTGGAATATTTGGCTCTGCACTAGAATTGATTTTGGTGATGTGCCAAACACTGAGTGCTCAAAGCTATGATATGCATGTAGAGTTGCTGCAGTGATGCACTGCTGCACCAAACACATTCAGAGTGACATGGATTTTTTCAGTCTGGGGGTGTAGGGGATAGGTAGGAAAGAACTTTCCTATGTGTGACCATGGAAAGAAACAGTCTGGATCCATCATGAATGGAATATATGGTTAGCCTCATAAATCATTTTGTTAGATATTAAGCTGTTTATGTTGGATATGTCATTGAACAGTCCTGCCTCCCTTGCTTCTGTCAGCTACCTCAGATGGACCTCGATTCGGTATGCCCCCTGCCTAAATGGGGCATTGGCCCACACATTTGTGTGTGGGACATCCCTCTGTCTATTGTTCAGGCATGTGTCTGATCAGGTGTTTTGCTTTGCTTCACCAGGCTTGGGACACATATCTCACTGGGATGGGATTACCTCTTTGTTTTGCCTGTGGGTGAAAATTTATGGTTACTTTTGTACTGTCACTTGCATGCCTCTTGGATTTTGATAAATACTTGTACCCATGATAGGTGGCTCTCTATATTCATGTATCCTCCTTGCATCTACCAGTGCATGTCTCTCACATCTTGAGCTATCCACTCCCACAATTCCCAACTGACATATGGGGACAACAAAGTTTAATTCCATGTGATCCTATCTTTGGTTGTATGAGTCAAGGTTCTGTTAATGCAAATCTGGTAACCATTTTACCACATTAGTGTGGTGGCTAACTTTTTCATGTAGGACACACTTGTCAAAGGCATAAGTGATCAGGCATAAGAGATCATCAGCATGTTCAGGGACTCATGTATATGCACTAAGAACATGCAATGAAAATATAATTTATGCCAAATTATACCATTTTCCATTAAATGTTGGAAATCTTCAATTTACAAAAGGCTGCTTCAAACCTTGTCTAACCTGTTCTCTTTCTGACTTGAGGTGGCCCTTCACTAACTGTCTAGGGCAAGTGCATGCATGCCTGGTACCATTCATTTCCTGTGTGGTGTTAGCTGATTATACTGTTTGCATGTACAGTGTGTCTGCCATCTTGTTATGACAACATGCACATAGCTCCATTCATTGGCAGTTACCCAAAGAGCTGTCAGCATGCACAGTGTACCTGCGCCACCTTGTTGTACTGCATGGACCCGATCTTGTACTGTCATCATACATGGGTGAATGTATTTGGACTCCACCTTCTTCTGATCTGTGATGTCTCCCCAGCCTGCTCACCTATCCTGCGGCATTGACGCTCGCACAGCACGGCCCTTCCCTTCCAGGAACAGTCGCGCAGGACAGCCCTGCCCTTCCCTTCGCGCGCGCCTGGCACCGCCTCCCGTCGGTGACCGACGCCCCGCTGCGTGCCACACCGCCGTCGCGCGCCGGCCGTGGGCCGACGGTGGTATGGGGCGCGCGGTGCGCCGCGAGGTGGGGCGCGACTTCCTGCGCAGCGCGCGCGGCCGCGCCGAGCTGGGCTGCCAGCAGGCCGAGGGCCGGCTGTCGCTGCGGCGGCCGGCGGCGCCCGGCGACCTGCTGCCCGGCGGCCGGCAGTCGACGCCGCTCAGTCGGCGCCACCGTCGGCCGCAGGAGGAGGCGCGCCGCCGCGCTGAGGCCCGGCTCGCTAGCCTGTTCCGGCTGGATGCGTTGCCGGCACGGCAGGCCCCCGCCGCTCGTGCGCGGGCGAGCGCAGCGACCGATGCCGATGGCTCGGACTCGGACGCCGGGACGGTGACGGCGCCCGTTTTGGGGGCGGAGAGAGCGTCTGAACGTGGACCGGTGAGCACCGGGTACTCGCGGAGGCGGACAGCTGCCGAGACCGGCCGCCGTGAGTGCAGGCCGGTCGCGCCGTCTGACAACCAGCGGAGGCAGAAAGCCAGCGGGGGCGGCAGCCACGAGGACCAGTCTGCCCGGAGCGGCTGCCATGGCTCGTCGGCCGCCGGGGTCGGCAGCAAGCGCCAGCCGGCCGCCGGGTTCCGAGCGTGGACCGAGCTCGAGTCGTCGGCTTGCCTCGGCGGCGGCGCCGTCCGCCGGTGATTGGACGGTGCCGCGGAGGCCGGCGCCGTCCCGCTCGCCGGACGAGGGTGAGGGCCTCACGCCCGGCCCGGGCGCCGGCGTGCGGGTCGAGGAGTTCGCAGAGACGGTACTAACTGAGATCGGTGCGCAGCTGGAGCGACTCTCGGCCGGCGCCGACACCGTCTGCGACGAGAAGCGCGCGCAATTGGTGGCGTTGTACCGCCGCCAGCCGCCGGCGCCAGCTACCGCCGACTGCACGCTGACGGAACGACTGTGGGGCGCCACAGGCGTCGGGGGCGGCGGCGGCGGTGCGAGCCAGCCGCCACCACCGCCACCACCAGACCTGAACAAAGACGACGTCGAGTTCGTGCTGCAGGTGTGCACAAGCAGTCAGGAGGACTCGGCGCTCGAGCAGGATCCGATCCGCTTCCTGAAGTTGGCCGAGGCGGTGACCGACGGCGACCGCGCCGGCGGCACCGACTGGCTGGATGCGACGCCGGCGCGCGGCGCGCCGCTGCGCCAGTGCGACCTGCTGCGCTTACGGAGCAGCGCGCCGCCGCGGCCAGCCTCGCCGGCGCCGGCCGGCGGCGTCGGCTGGCTGGAGGCAGCGGTGACGCCGACGGTCTGGTCGGACTGGCGCGGTGGGGGAGATATTCTGGACGTGCTGGACGCATCGAGGCCGCGCTGGGACGCGCCCTGCCGCAGTCCGCCGCGGAAGAGAGCAGACCTCCGCTACCAATGCTGACCCATGGCACTGGACCTTCGGTACCAGTGTTGTCCCACGGCACCAGAGCTGACCAACTGACCCACGGTGCGGACTTCCGATGCCAGTGCTAGCCTTCGGCACCAGAGCTCCGACATCGGACCGTACCTCCGGTTCCGAGGCTGATCCCCAGTGCCAAGCGTGCGGTACTAGGGCTGATAGTCGGGTTGTGACCAAAGAGCTGGTTGTGAGACGTGATATTTTGGCGGTGAAGCGATAGCTTCCGCCTCGCTTATGGTGCGCTCTTGGTTGTGTTTTAAAGCGTCCAGTGCTTGTTCCATCGAGGTGAGATTGTAATGCGGTCGTTGCGGTATGTTTGTTCAGTGTTCATAGATCGTGAAGGCGCGGCGTTTGCGCGGGTGCAAAATTACTTATGATTTTAAATTATGGAGCGTTCAGGTGAAGCGCAAGGGCTTGCTGTGTTTTGGAGTGGATTTGCGCTTTTATGTTCGCCACCTTGTGTGGACGCATGTTTTAGTAGAGTGCATTGTGACCTGCAAGCGTTCACGACGCACTTCTGCGTTTGGTTCAATTTGTTCCTTCACACACTGCCTGCACTGTTCTGTTTATATCTCATGGGTTTGTTGAATATGTTCTGATTTGGTCGGGCATTGTGAAACAACGGTAGCGCTGAGCAACCGCATGGAGCCGTGATGTTAATAGTCGGTAATGCAAGCGGGTATAATGCTCGCAATTATCATTGTGGGTGTATGGTTTAGCGAAATAAAGGACCGATACCTATGGCGCGGCCAACAAGTACTATAAATGGATCAAACTCAATGCCCATATCCACGCTTTCACAGCAGCTTCGGTAGTTTTTTTTTAATATTGTCGCGCGGTGTGGCGTGACAGCCCGGCACCCTCTCCCTTTCTTTGCTAGTGGGGCATGACACGACGCGTGGAGATGCACCTGATGGATGAGACGAGGCACTTCTCACTTTCCTGCCTGCTCTTGCAGCACCTCGGGCACAAACACTCGCTGAAGGCGAGCGGCACGGGCAGAGGCGCGCACACCACACGCGAACGCACACGCCAGCGCGTGCTCACCTGCATAGCCACATGTACGTGCGCACACCCCGACCCACACGCACATAGGCGCATCGCGCCCATTCTTCTCCGCCCGGCTAGAGGCGACAGTGCCGGGCGCTGTTTCGGTAATGCGGCCGTGAATCATGCTGGGTGTTCTTTTCAGATGGCCGGCACCGCTGATCGGCTTGAGGGATGGGCCGACAAGTGGTCGGCGGACATCATCCCGTTCCACCGGGCTGATGTCAACCCGCACCTCATGAAGTGGTGTCACAAGCTGGCGCACGACGACCAGCCGAGCAAGTTCCTGGTGCCTCTCTGTGGCAAGTCTGTCGACATGATGTGGTGGGTTCACGGCTGCTCTGCGGGATGGTGTTTCGTGGCTCTGCACGTTGGTTGGCGATGGCTGACGCCTCAGACCGGCAGCGCGATGTACCAGGCACCCGAGCTACGCGCGTTTGGGACACATTCGTGGCGCGAAATGTGTGGGTTGACTTCGCAGCGCGAAATCAGCGCCGCCATTTTTCTGAATGCGTCGAATGGTCTGCCTGCTATCCCCGTAGGACGTTACACTATGATGAGCTATTCCTTTGCACGGAGACCACTAGTGTTGAAAGTCTGTTTCTTTCTCGCTGTGTCGTGGGACAGCAACGCTTTCCCCTGACCCAATGGGACAATCCGTCACAGGCTGTACAAGAAAGGGCACACCGTCTTCGGCATAGAGGGTGTGGAGAAGGCTATCGTCCAGTTCTTCACGGAAAACGACCTGAAGTATACGAAATCGCCCACCGGAGCTGGACAGCTGTTCCAGGTACATGTGAACCATCACGGTTACGCAGATGTTTACTGAAGCCACGTAGTTTTCATGCGCGATGGAATCGTGAGAATTCCAGGACAACACTTCAGTTGTGGGGATGGGATTTGCTCCAGTGCTGTTTATCGTCGTAAGGTGTTCGGGCAGATGTCCAGAAGACGATCTCGAATTTTACCAATGCTGTGAAATTCTCCTTGAAACATTCTCGGTATGAATGTAAAACACCAACTCGCACGTAATTGGTCATTTCGCTAAAATTATGATCAGAAAAGGGGCGGAGACAGATGTCAAAATTTCTCCTCAGCCCAGAATTTGTACGAAATACCTAAGAAATCGCCAGGAATCCAGCATAAAGCTTTCGCCCAAGGGAGGACGTTTGTGGCCTTGCCGTTGGCTACGTCCCTGCTCGCGACTGTGGACGCGGTGACGTAAACGCAGCAATCATTCACAACCGTTTAGCTGGCCCAGGGACACATCATTACCGGTATACAGCACACGGTCGTGTCACGTGACTGCCGCCGCTCATCGCCATCGCGTCACATGACGGTGCCTGCAGACAGCGGACGGCCGCCTCCAGCTGCACCAGGCTGATATCTGCGAGATGGATCCGGCGCTGATCGGTCCCGTAGACGCCATCTGGGACCGCGGCTCCTACGTGGCAATCTACTGCGAGGACAGGCCCAAGTGAGCCCGCGGGGTAACGACGCTAACAGCCTCAGACGAATGCGTCAGGTTGCAGAGGCAGTGGTGCTGTTGCATCCCACCACATTGTCTCCCCAGTTGCAAATGAGGTCTCCCATATGCGACAGAGCACATATGCATCTGTGTGCAGGGAACTCTCCCAACCTGAATCATTTTGGTGATGAATGGCTCCAAAAAGAGGAGGAGCAAGACAACAATGCGGAATAAATGGGTATCATGTGCGAGACTTGATTCTAAGCGTCGGCCACCCTTTCCAAACCTGAAAGAAACCGAGAAAAAATGTTAGGAATTAAAAAAGGCGACTGTTTCCCCCATTTTCCCCATTTTTAAACAAGTAGTGATCGAAATGTGGCAAGCAGTCAGTGTTCCGCGATGCCCTTTATCGGTTTGACCCCAGGCTTCACCTGGTGATTCACCTGGACTCCTGCATCAGGTACGCCAAGTTCATGAAGGGCGTGATGTCGCGCAAGTGTCATTACCTGCTGTGGGCGGTGGAATACGACTCCAGCCTGTTCTCCGGGCCGCCCCGCAATCTTTCCAAGGATGACATTGAGAAGGACTGCGGTACGACCGGCCTGCTGTTCTTCGGGCCACGCGCTGCGTGGTCGAGATGAGATATGACATGCGTCGCGCATTTTCGCTGATGCGCGCGATGCAACTTTGCCCGTTGTGCACTGAGATATTTTCCGCCGTTTCTGCTGTCTGAAACAATTGGTAGAATAAAAATGCACGTCTAGATAGATAGATAGATAGATAGATAGATAGATAGATAGATAGATAGATAGAGAGGGAGAGAGAGAGAGAGAGAGAGAGAGAGAGAGAGATATATATATATATATATATATATATATATACATGTGCATTCTAGCGTTGTACGTCCTAAATCTAAGGGAGTTTGCTCCATTTCTGGCTCTTATCAAAGTAGCTTAAAAGTGCACAAATGGAATAGCATGTGCATTCCTGACGTAATTTTTAGCTGTATGTTTTGCTTCGTGATTTTCGAACACAAGTCCACGCACTGCCTTGCGCTGAACCGACAGTGGCCCGCATTGGCCCCACGGACCACCTCGTCAGAACATTCTCGGTTCTCTACATGTTCTTTTTGTCGTCTTCTCGTTGTCTCCGTTATGATGGTCTCTGTGGGGATCTCCTCTTCCACCCAGAAGCTGACCCTAGCTCTCTGACCATGTGCCTCAGGCTCCTTCGCCAAGATCGAGTGCCTTACTTGCGACGAGCACACCGTCGAAACATTCCCTAAGATGGCGAATTGGAACCTGAAGGAAATGAAAGAGGTGGTGTACATGCTGACCCTCAAGTAGCCAACCACCGCCATGGTGACTTCCAGTAAGCTCGACCACGATGTGTCCGTGAGAAGCCCGTCAGAATTGTGTTCTACAGTATTACTGCCGGTCTCTGAGCCATGACTACTTCCTCAGAACATCTGACCGGAGATTAATTCCCCAGAACAGAGCAGCGTTCGTGACTGCTCGAAAGATAAGGCACGGAAATCGCTAGTTGGAAGTGGCCTGTTGCGACTGTCTGCGTAATTCAGCTGTTTCTTCACTGTACAGTTATTTTTTAACTGCATCAGATTTGCATCAGATGGTTCTTGCTGGGCGGGCGTTGTACAACGAGTTTTGTTCTTCTGCTGACCGACGCGAGGGCGGAGAAGGTGACGTCGTGCGGACGGCTGAGCGCGGTGCCTTTTTGCGCTGTTACTTGGAGACAAAGATGAGACAGGAACCGTCTGATGTTGCTTTTTTGTCAGTCGCCATTCCATGAGGTGGTGTTGACGTGCACACGTTTTTTTCATTCACAGCTGCCGGTCGAAAAATTTACCCTGCTGTTATACCGCTTCGATGAGCGCGCGGAAGAACTGCGAATGGCTCTCAGGAAGGCGCAACACTGACCAGGTGTCTTCAAACCTTTCCATCATGGCCGTAGTCTGTTCATGATTCATAAACGAAGCGAATCGTCTCGAGGATCATGTCTTAAGCCCATGATTAAAAGGTAGCTGGCAGCTGGCTCTTGTTCCACCTGCCTTGACAGCTTGCGGTGCCAGCAGATATCAGCTGATACTTTTGGCAGCCGAACCGTGATATGCCTCATATTTTGATATATTCCAGCTGATTTGTTACCACTTATCCATTTCATGTAGAATATAATCGACGCAAATATGCATATGTGTTTCTAAGGTGCTGGCGATGTACAGATGGTCCAAGGAAGTAGCAAATGATGCGTCTTAAAGGGAGTGTTCCACATGTGTGGGAGGTTTCTAACTGAAATAGCAATCTTGGAGGTCATTCAGTGCAGTTCACAGCCAGGTGTGATAAAAGCTTCTGATTTACCGGATGTGGTAGGTGACAAAAACTGAGACTTCTGCAAACCAATTGGTGACAAAATTTCGCAACAGGAAAGCAAATTTCAACAGACCAGAACATGTTACGATAGACCATCCTAGCTAGATGAAACTCAAAGCTTAGGGTTGGCCTGTACTCGCTAACGCTCGCAGCGCAAGCATATGTCGAGCACGTCAGAACGGTGACGTTGCGCTATATGAGTAAGTTGGGCTTGAATATGCTGCCAAACATAGTAGCTTTAATCAGGATAGTTTTCAGCAGGTGACAAAAATGTGCAAATTATGCGTCGTCGGTGCTGACGCCACAGATATGTGGTGACACCGTGTTTTTCCAATACCCCTCAGATCCGTGCTTTTCACAGATTTTGCGGCCAAGATTCACTTCACATACTAAACAGCATGGGATACCAAACAACTAGGTATGTTACTAGTCGCAATAATGGCATCTGGCCGCGGCATCTTGCGACGAATGCGGTCAGTTTGCCACGCAGCGTTTTGAAGCGTCGTGCCATTTGAGACAGATTGCTTCGAATGCTTGCCACGCAGTAATGCAGTGGGTTCAGCGGCAGGGTCTAAAAAAGCGGCATATAACGCAGACACGCAGGTTTTCCGAAAGGGCTCGCCCGATCGCCTTGAAACCTTCACCAATCGATTCTGTGCATTGATGTGAGTGATGAGGAGGTAATATCGAGACCTGATCCGCGGTCAAACATCTCGAATATGCGAAGGGAAAATTTTACATGCAAATGCAGACAACTCGGATCTCAGAGCCTGCTTGACCGATTACTGTGAAACCTTCACCATGGGATGCTCCATATCCGGTGCCCTGCTGCAGTTACAAATTTAGTGACCCTAGGTTAGGTCAAAAGTCGTCAAATTTCACAAAGTTCAAAATTCTTGTCTGTGTTGGGATTGTTTCCGGTACCTCTGCGTTATCCGTTAAGCCTTCTTCTTAGTCCCTTAGTCATACGCTCTGGGTGGCCCGACATCCAGCCGGTTTTCTGGTTAAAGCGTTAGTACATGACTACTCACGTATTTTTACGTAACGAGGACTGCCAAAAGAATTGGTAGCGTGCCGTGTCACCCAGAAATATCGAGACGTAGCATTCACGGCACTCAGGGATACAATCAACACCTGTACAGTGGCACTGCTCTGTAGAACTACAAAGACCGACTGTCCATTGACACTCACATTTCATCCCGGCTAGCCCGGTATGACAGGCATAAGTCCTTGCATGTTAGACGAAGCGCGGAGTCTTAGCAGCGCGGCACAGTCGCCAGCACTGGCCCTCGCCAGTCTTGGCGCGAGAGAGAGAGAGAGAGAGAGAGAGAGAGAGAGAGAGAGAGAGAGGAGAGAGAGAGAGAGAGAGAGAGAGAGAGAGAGGGGGGGAGAGAGAGAGAGAGAGAGAGAGAGAGAGAGAGAGAGAGGAGAGAGAGAGAGAGAGAGAGAGAGAGAGAGAGAGAGAGAGAGAGAGAGAGAGGAGAGAGAGAGAGAAGAGAGAGAGAGAGAGAGAGAGAGAGAGAGAGGAGAGAGAGAGAGAGAGAGAGAGAGAGAGAGAGAGAGAGAGAGAGAGAGAGAGAGAGAGAGAGAGAGAGAGAGAGAGAGAGAGAAACTGAACCCTATAACTAAGCCTTTTATATCGCGGATGAGTGGTCGGTAATGGTTAGGGAAGGTCAGCCGGCCATACGCCGACGGCTGGTTGTTCGCCAGGCGTAAGTGACGCAGTTGCCATGCTGGGCCACCGTTTAGTGGCGACGCCGGGCTCCTGTGCCTGCGGTCACGTGGCCTCGGACGCTGTTCCATCCTCTGCGTGGCGCGACACGGTGGCTGTCTCGAACTGCAAGGGACGTGACGTCCGAAAGTGACGACGCGGTGGCCATGCCGAGGTGCGGGGGACGGTGTGACATCCTGCAGTGGCGATGCGGTGGCCGTGCAAGGGTGCAGGCTGCGCGGGCTGCGTAGCATCGAACGCAATGCCGCCCTCCCCCGGATGGCAGTCGTTGCTTTGAGCGCCGGCCCCGGAACGGTCCGGTCCCGCGGCACTTCCGGTGGCGGCCGGGCGTGTACCTTGGGCGCCGGCTTTCGGGATGGGTTGGTCCGGCGGTCTGCCTGGTCCAGGGCTCGGCGAAGGCGTGCCGGTCGCTGAGTTGGGCCGTGGACCAGCTCTTATTTCTCACACTTGCAGACAACTTATAGCTGAGAACATACCAAACCGATCACTGTCAGACCTTCACCATTGGATGTCCCATACTTAATCCCTTAAGCAGTCCAACTTTGGTCACCCCGGGTCAGGTCAAAAGTCATCAAATTTCACGAAGTCAAAAATCCTTACTTGCAGACAACTAATAGCCCAGAACCTGCCACCCCGCTACCTACCAAACTTTATCATTCATTGCGCCATTTACCCTCATTCTCTACTGAAGCTGCGAGTGTGGTGCCATTTTTTCTTTTTTGTTTGTTCCGAATACAAAGTGCGTTTTGGTTAGGCTGGACTTATGACGTTGAATTTCTCCTTAGCGGAGGTGTTGTGCTGAAAATCACCTGCTGAATTGTGCATGGTATCGCCACGATTAACACCGTCGCAGAGAAAAACTAAGGCCGGGGAAAACAATCCCATAAGGTCAGCGTAACCAAGCTGCACATTTTCTTGGGAACAAACATAAAGAAAAGGACATTATAAGTGGCACCACGTTTGAATTTGAATGCCTGGCACCACACTTGGACATGCTTAAATTTTGGACTCTGTGAAATTTGACGACTTTTAACGCACCCTAGGCCCACCAAATTTGGAACTGCAATGGGAATCAGGTAATCAGGTATATGGGGTGTCCAATGGCGAAGGTTTGGCAGCGATTGGTGCGGGTAAGTTCTTACCCATAAGTTGTCTGCACGCATGAATTTTGGATTTTGTGAAATTTGACGACTTTTGACCTGATCTAGGGTCACCAAATTTGGAACTGCAGAGGGATCAGATTTTGGGCATCCAATGGTGGAGGTTTCACAGTGATCGGATCGACCTGTTCCGGAAAACCTGCGTGTCTGCGTCATATGCCGGTTTTTTTACCCTACCGGGTTCAGTGCAAGGCCGTGGACTGCTATTCGTTGTGATTATGTGGTGAGGAGCTGACAGGCTAGAAGAACGCAGCTAATCGTCAGTTTTTTTAGGTAGTGGCGTTAAAACTCCCAGCTGATCAGGAAAGATTCAGTTTCTGGATTAATCTGAGCTGTAGCTGCAGAGGTATACGGAGGACGTTGGAGCGACGCATGTCAAGGATTCACCCTGAACTTTCTGCTGCTTAGACGAACAGCGGCTTTGAGATAAGAGCCCAAGCATCGCTAGTGTAGACCTCTCACATTGTTCGTTGCAACTCAGTGTTAGCGTACTGATCGGTGTACACGCGTGGGATAAAACGCCTTTAATTTGCATCGTGTTACACAAATAAAGTTGTTAGGGGTGTTCAAAAATGTTGGTTGCATCTGTTGCATCTGTTGATACCAATATTGCATGGGTTTTGCTCTAAATTGTTGGGGTCATGTTAGGAAGGGCATACTCTGCATCGGCAACGACTATGCAAAAATAGTAAAGGTCGCCAACTCTTCCAGGGCGATGACGTCACAAAGCCAAAAGTGGTATTGTCTCCAGGCTTTTTTAGAACCGTTTTATTGGTAAGTGTGGGGCTTTAGGGACGCAATTTTTCAAAATACGTGGGGTTGAGAAAGGGAGGGGGAGAGGGTGCAAAAGAAAAATGGCTAAGCGTACCTCCGAGATGCACTTGAATCAGTTTTCTCCCCAGATTTGACGCGCGTTCTTGTCACAGTTGGTAGCAGTGGTGTGGTTTCTTAACATTAGTTTTGTGGGCTAACTCCAAAAATTATGAATAATGAAACATAATGGATAAAAATGCTAACTAAAAATAGGAACCTTCATCACTGGCTAGAAGGCACAATCCCCCTACCCTCAACTGAAAAGGAAACTAAACGCCTCTGGGTTGGTAATGTTAACGATGCCTTTATCTGATTATTTTATTAGTGTAGCCATCAACTACCATTCAGTATTTGATGGCCAGTAAATGACACTTTAGTGTAAATGACCTAAAAAAACGAAAATATGTTTGTGACCATGCCCCACTTCATTTGATTTGTCTTTTTTATCGCAGTTAGAGTTGTACTGCAATAGTTTTGGAAAGTTTTGGCTCCAGGTTACAGTTAAGACGGCTCCAATTTTCGTCGGTTACAGAAAAGGACATGTTTCACCCGTGATCGTAGCCCTGCCTTTTTTAAGACCTGTGCTTCTCTAGTTTGTTTAGCTACACGCCCGCGATAATGTACAGACTACTCCGGAAAGACTATTTCAAGGTCAGTCAGGCATTCAAGACGTTGTGATAATTTCATTCAAATGCTATCGTTAAACAGAGAAATTGTGCTGTCTTGACCAATCTTTTTCCCTTAAAAATGTACCAATAGTTATACTGAGCTTATTTCATCATATCTGATGCTTGCTTCAGTGTCCTCAAATGTAAGAAAGCAAACGTGAAAAGCCCAGTTTGCGTTCATCTATGCTCCTTGATGAGCACCTCGGCGGATCGTGACTCATGAGCCACAAGGAAGGCATGATTATCCATATGTCGAGCACGATCACGTCCTCAGCAACCTTCTCCTTCATGCATTCCACCGACATAAGAACCTTCAAAGAAGCGGGAGTTGGGTAGTAGGTGGCGTCTGTCAATTCGTTCTTTCCACGTTTCACCAGAGGGCGGTGTTGATCGCCACTTTGACAATGTTCTTGACTATTTTTTTTTTAAAGTGTATTTAGGTTATT